TAAATAAAATGAGTAAACGCCTCCTAATGTTAACGATCAAATCCTAGGAAATATGTCCTTCAACACGTCATATGTCATTGGATCTAATGCAATCATACACATAAATAAACAAAAATTTCCTGTTTCTGTTAGCTTCTAAAAAGCTAAGCGCATACTAACACCAAATCATAGCTAAAAACCCATTTTCAGTCAAGGGTCAGTGAATCGAAGATGAATCATACTTGTTATATCGATCAACTGCCAGATCTTATTCAAATTTCCCTTGTTTGCGGTCGTTGGCGATCGTGTATTATGGACGACGAATGTTTTCTCAATGTATGGTTTTCTCGACCATTGAAAAACTCACGACAATCATTTCTCGCCAATCCGAGGAATAACAACAACAACAGTCAACAACTATTGGCATGTTTCCCATCAATTAACAATCGAATGAATGTTATCTTCTACCTACCATTGACCCATTTCACGTAATTGATTCTCGGCATTGCTTCGAATATTGGTATCCTTTATCACTCTTCGACTGGTTTCATTCTTTTCCCTTCTGCTTCTTATTACCTCGTGAATCCCAGTTAGGTAAACAAATTGGAAATTGTAACGTGCGAGGATTAATCGCACTTCTCGGTGCTGATCAGAAGTGGTATTTCGAAAATGGGAAGCGGATGTTGATCGGTGATCAGTGGATACATATTGTCTTAGCCAAAATTAGACCACGACTCAACTATCGCATATGGATCAATGGACAACATTTCTCAAAATTCGATCGGTATGAAATGTTGAATAGACAGACGATGGAAGGTCATGTTTCGAATTATATTCTACCGCATTGCAAGCTTAACGACAACCCAACACGAGAACCAATCAGAGCTCGTATCGCTCGTTGCTTTCAAACAATGCTTGTCGAAATTCGAGCTATTTATCAACAACAAACATCAATCGATCGAGTTAAAATCGGTACCTATATTAAAAACAAGAAAATGTACAGCACGAAGATCGATAATTCTTGCAAATTCAATTACTCGTCATGCGGATATACGATCTTATTATGTTTCATATGTCTCGTAGTTTGATTCACTACTGTTTCTAATATGATTAGGCAATATGTGGAGATACATTGCTCCTGCAGCGTTGAAAGGAGACTGTCGAGATCTGTAAAAACCGTTGCTTTGCAACCGTTTTTACTTACAAAATGGTCACAAAAAACGGAACGGGTGCTGCTCCATTTCTATGAGTTACAAAATTAACGTGACAACGCGTTGCTATTCTGAAACGCACCCTAACCTTTTTTAATCGTTTTTTTGTGACCATTTTGTAAGTAAAAACGGTATCAAAACTGAACGCGTTTTTTACACTGTTTCATCATTGTCTCGATTGTATGGGAAACACTGATGTTATTTCGTTGAAAGCAAAGAACAGAACACTCGCATCACACGACGAAAAGTTGTTTCAGAATGCATTGAGACGATCTCATATTTGCTTCAAATGAACAAATTTGACTGAGATCAGGTTTCGAACGACAAAATCAATCTTTAAATTCGACGATAAACTCTATTATTGATGGTTCCAGATAGAACTCTTCACGCTCTATCGATTGCACATCTTACTTTTTACTTTTGACAGAGTCATGAACGAGAAAATCGCTAATTAGTACCTGGATCATATGACATCAAGGGTAAATATGAGAAAATGCTGTGGCGATTCGTTTCTTCACTGGCTCCAACTCTATTATTGATGGTTCCAGATAGAACTCTTCAGGCTCTATCGATTGCACATCTTACTGTTCACTTTTGGCAGCGTGATCAGCGAGAAAATCGCTAGTTGATGTAGTGTTTTTTTCTTCGTGATCGGATGAGTAGTTTTTATGTTTTTAGATGGATTATGTCTGTTGATTCGTTTGATCTTTAGTTCGGTTTGAAGTTGGGGGATAGTGATGCTTATTTGTATTAGCTTGGGGCATATGACTCTTTAGGATACATTTGATATTGATTGATAGGTTCGTCGAAAAAATATAGAAGTGTTTGATCGGAATGATGAATGAGTTGAAATTTATATGTCCTGTCACCGGTGCTCATTCTCTGATTATTGTTAGAATCGATCATATCTTTCTTGAGGAGATTGGTCGCATCTGTTTATTAATAACAGATGATTGACTCTCTGAAGATTGTGAGTCATCTTTCTTTATGCATTTGGAAGAAGGAAACAGTTTGATGTGTGATAACGTCGTCATTCTTATTCGTCTATTTCTTTCTCCTTTTTTTCTCTTCGTATTCAACAAGAGAGGAATTAGTATAACGTATAGTTTTGAACTTAACGAATAACGATAGACAAACTCCTGTTTGACGACAATTTTCATTGCTACGTGCGTATTTTTGGTAAACGGGTAAAGTTTTATTCTGTTTAATAAGAAGTAGCTGTATCCATTGTTGTTGACATATGGGTGATTTGCGTTTAAATAACAAGAGTAAGAATATTTGGTCGCGGATTACTCTAGAGCAATTGGTTACAGGTATCGCTTCTCTCGAACATCGTACTAGCCTTCTCGATACCGGAACATGGCGACTAAACGCTGTGACTGGTTTACACCGGTCTGTTTGGGGTGAACTCATTGGTCTATTAAAGCTTGATCACAGCGAAACTACACATCACTCGTTGTACAAGCTTTGGCATTTAAATCGTGACAATATCCGTCAGCTTGTTGAAGAAAAGAAAAGAGGAATAACTGGTAGTGAGTGCGATGCAAATGACGTTGATATTGATCGAACAGAAGGATTTTCTGTTCTAGCGAGGAATAACTCATCTCTACATTCCAATCCATCGCTACCAGTGCCGCATGGGCTAAATACCCGTGCTAGAAAACAAGAAACTGCTTATGACGTCAAAACTTTTAGTGTTGACGTTAGTGAAACCTCGTTTGTCCTCACTCCCATCGAGTGGAAGAATGCTTTCAGTCGTACGCATCAGAAAATGAAATCTGATTGGACTGATATATTTTACAAAAAGTTGGTTTCATGTGGACTTAAATGTGTAGTGAAATTTAAAACACCGTATATTAAAAAGGGAACACGAAAGCAAGCGTGCCGTTTCTTTTGCTGCCACGCTATGTGCACTCTTAGAATCTGCTCCCGAAGATACCAGATAATTCTAGAAAAGGCACCGGAAGAGAACATGTCGATACTCTTTCTTGTACGAGCTACTGGCAAGGAGAATCACAATATCAACATTGAAATATCTGCACGTCAACTCCATGGTAAAAATCGAATCCTTGTCGGTACGTACTCCCACCGTTCAGCTCGGAAACGAATTTTAAAAAATATGATTTACATATTTTAGGACAGCGAGCGAACGAAATCGATCCTCTCGAAGTTTTTCGTGAACATGTTAAAGATGCTAACGAGAGTTTGCTCGCTGTGGGCAACTACACAGAATGTGAAACAATTGAAACTCTCAAGAAAGCGGCATATGTTTATCGAAAAAAGATGCATATTGATGAAGACATTTTCAAAGAATGTCGTATTATCGGGCGTGCGTATCTTACGGCTCCAATGTTGTGACATCCAATGATGTTAAAGGTATGCCAAACTCGTAAGAGAGAAAAATTTGTTATAAATTATATTTTCTGCTTCTATTCAAAGGATACGTTCGAGTCGTTGGTGAAACGCCTTTTCGTGTGCATCTGTTTTCGGAACCTCAAATCGAATGATATATCAGGTACTGTACCAAAGAGGACTATTCTTACGTACATGTCGATGCTACAGGAAGTGTGCTCAAAAAAATGTTCGAGCAAAAACTCTCCTTGCTGTATGCGCTCGTTTTTAAAGACGGAAATGACTCGAATGATACCATTCCGCTTGCTCATGGGGCTCTTGCCGATCACACTGTTTCGAGCATTGGTTATTTCTTCGGAAACGTGGCGCAAAGTATTGCCCAAGTGAAAGGTAAATTAATTCTTCCCTCTTTTTTTGTGATTGACTTTTCTCCTGCTATCATGAATGCAGATCTTCAAGCATTCAACGGAGAAAACATTAAGATTCATCTCAATCGTTGTTGGAATGTTCTGTGTGGACACTACAATACTCAAGAATTGCGATCTTTGTCATACATACACTTCTGTTGTTGCCATGTCATTCATGCTGTCGCAAGAAGTTTGACGGCAGCGAATGTTGAGGAAAAGATTCGACAAGGCATCTTGCATATATTCGCCTTCATCTTGTGTTGCAACGATATTAAACAACTATATGACCTTCTCGGATCAATCGTCAACATATTCGGTGATTCAAATGAAGAGAATGCGCAAGAATATTTCGAACGATTGCTCGCTCGTAAATTCAACGTTGATAAAGAAAGCGTGTCATTATTAACCAATGATAAGAAGATATTCAAAAAAGCTAAAAAAAACAAAAATCCAATACTGCCATCATCCATCAATCACCTTTCAATGAAGAAGCCATTCGACTATATCCCAGCCTTACTACTCTTATTAATTCGAAAACTAAATATAATGAAATTATCAACCCACTCTTTTCTCCACGAATAATTCGCATCTTTTATAAATGGTGGGCATATTTACCGCTATGGACAGGTTTGTTGTGGCATTTCGAGGAGCGGTATTCAAATAATATTGAAAAGACGGTACAACCAACATACAATCCTATTCGTCACTCCAATACTTTAATTGAAAGTTATTTTCGCACAATGAAAAGGAGTATTTTTAAAAGAAAAACTCATGGTCGACCATCGGATATTATAATTGATCTATATCGAAGCGTTCAAGCGCACTTCAAAGCTAATAAATTTAGCGTGACACAGAGTTCGAAGGGTAGGAAGAGAAAACGAACGAAACAGACATATTAAAAGTGAAATTTCTGATAAAAATGAATATAATTCGTTCTTAAATAGAGGACATATTCAACTTTTCGGTCAATTATACAACACCGATGAATTCTTATCAGCACCAAAACTATTAATATGTTCCAGATGTAATCATCCTGGACATACAAAGAAATCATGTCAAAACTCAAACTACGATATTTGTAGAAGATGTGGAGCTGATCGTAACGATCAGCACAACCACCAAGAATGTGAAATTAAATGTCATCATTGTAATGGCTCTCATGTATCAACGGAGTATAAATGTCCTGTTATTAATCAATACAGAGGAGAACTAATTTATGAATTAAGAAAGAGATCGGATAAACTACCAGTCGATGTACAACTATTTATTCCATCCGAATATCGTAATTCAGATGAACGAAATAAAGTAATTTATAATAAAAAAGCACAGCAACAAAAACAACGACAAGATGAACAAAGATACAATAGAAATGATTACAACGCTTGGCCTTCTGTGAATTCTAATGTAACAACATTAGTACCACTTTCTCCTTCATATCAAACTCTAAATGAAACGATAAAATCATTAGATAATGCGTTAAATGCACTAAAACAAAACTATCTACAAGAACAACAAAAAATTGAACAAAAATACAAAGAGCATTTAAATGGAATAAATCAGGGATGGCTAATAATGCAACAACAAATGCAAACTCAAACGCAAATTCTCTCCACGAGAATTTTGTATCACTTCACAGAAACATTTTCTTCCCTACTCCACGAGAATAATGCTGTTACACGAGAATTCTGCTGTTTCGTGCGAGAATTATGCGTGCATCTCAAACATATTGTGCTCCCTTCACGAGCATTTTGTGAAGAGGCATTTTGCCGTCGAGCCTGTACTTCTTGCTATTACATAATAAAAATTTAGAATCAAACATAATATGAAAGAGGGAAGAAAATAAAAGAGTAGCCTGTGTCTCATGCTTGGTCGTAGTGATTTCACAGTAATTTATGCATCAGTTGCATTATCGGTGTCCTCCACAGTAAAAAGTCGTTTGTAGTTCCCTTTCGACAGGAATTGATAAACATTACCATTGCGCGTGAAGATTGTCTTTTTATTTAGTTTTTGACGAGCATAGTGTACAAAGTATTATTATAATTTGTTAGATGCTCATTAATATAGACCGTTTTATAAATGTCAATATCACGACATTTTTTTCTAGAATCTTAGAACGAATTTCTATCTTTTAAACGCAAAAAAGCCACGATGATTGGTTGTCTTGTTTTATCCTTTGACTTTTTACTTACTAGTAAGCGATGTACTGAATAAAAAAGTGCATCATTAAGTTGAACCCCTAATGAATTCCCCATTTCAATAACCATATTTGTAGTATTTTCATTTTTGTGAACTGGTATGCCATATATTACTAAATCTTTTCGTTTTGTATGCTGTTGATGGTCATTCATTTGAAACTGAACTTTAACCAGTTGTGTTTTAACTTCCTTCAATTAAGATGTTAAAAAATCAATTTGTTGTTGTTTCTGACACACTTCTTTAACAACATTTGTAAGCGTATTGAGTAGTAAATTTGTCATTTCACCAATGAACGATGAATTTGTATGTTTCTTTAATACTTTGTTGTTTAAATTTTTAGTTTTAGGTTATCACAGGGTATCCACGGATGCCACAAGTCTTTTGTTCTTCTTCCAAAACTAAAAATTTAAACAACAAAGTATTAAGATTATTTTAAATGTCTATCGCTCCAAAACTACTTCTATACAGAAATTAATTAAACAGTTAGATGCTGTTTTAGAGCAAATTAGTAAGAGCAAATACAAGAATGATATGATTCTGATGGTCGGGGACTTTAATTCCCACTATCAGCCGTGGTGTATTAGTGACATTCCATCGACTAAGGAAAGTATAAAACTCAATGATTATCTCGCATCAATATCTATGTATCAAGTAGTGCGTGGAATTACTAGAGATGCGTCTAGAACATGTCTAGATATAGTCATTGCTCAAAATCCTTTATTTATATCTGATATAAAAATAGAACCAACTCTTTATCGAAGTGACCATAATTTTATAGAATTTCGAATAAACGCTTGTCTGGATCGAAAAGACAAAATTTTACGCACTGTTTACGACTATAACGTGGTGAAGTGGGCGTTAGTAATGAACGTTTCAGAGAAATTCCAACTGATCAGCTCTTAAAAAATTATAGAAATGTTACTAAAAGAGCTAAAGCATTTGAAGAGATTCTCCTCGAACATATGCATACTTTTGTGTCCAATAAAACTATAACTGTAGAACCGAGGGACAAGGTTTGGGTTAGTGACAAATTACGTGTTTTGTATAAAAACAAATGCAAGTTGTACCGTAAAAGTAAAATTTCACTATACCGCTTGGAACTCTATAAAGAAGTAGTAAAGAAATTTTAAAAAGAATGTGTTTCCGCAAAAGAAGTTTACTATAAAAAAATAAATGAGAAAATTTCTGCTTCTTCGAAAAACTGGTGGAGTTTAGTTAAAAACACATTAGGTAGAGGACGTACAACGTCTATACCAGCCCTTAGGAATGCCAATAATGATATAATAGTTGATTGTCAAAAGAAAGCCGAGATATTGAATAACTACTTTGCTGAAGTGTGTACGTGGACAGGACCTATTATCGATTCGAAAATTGCTGACACTGTGCCAGAGTCTGGTACTAAGATCGAAAAGTTTAAGGTTGAGCTACCCGATGTTGAAACTATTCTGCGGAAATTGGATCTAAGTAAAGCATGTGCGCCAGGCATTATTACCCTAGGCGTCGATTCTTATATAAGCATCAGTTAAGAATCTTATAAGAAACTTATAAGTACCCAATAAGATTCACGTAAGAATCTTACCTAATTCTTATCAAATTCTTATATAAGATTACGCAGGAAAG